CCCTAAACCCTAAACCCAGGTGCTGATGTACGTTTGCGGGTAGCCATAATTAAGGCTAATCAAAGGGACCCTTAGGGCGGGAGTGCAGTAAGGGGGGGGGGGGGGCTGAAGAAAAACCATAAACACTGGGTTAAGCTCTTCAGGGATTGAAATTCGGCTTGTAGGCTTGGGAACCATGACAGGTTCCTTCTCCGGATGTTTAGAGTCAACTAGTATGCTCTTTATTGAATATGGTCTAGGGTAGGTTCTGAAACCCTAAACACGAAACCTCCAACCCGAAACCCGAAACTTTCTTGTCCAACAATGACACCGATCACTTAACAAGACCCCCACCCTGTAACAGTGGTATATTAAGAACATAAGAGGACTCCAACATAGTAACCATTATCCCGTATAGTCACTATTACTGGGTGGGGGCCCACCTAGCTGATGACCAAAACAAATGAGAAAGCTCACAAGCATGCAGACGGCACGTCTGCCAGACTCACAAAAGCCATCACATAAAACATCACATAATGTCATCCAATATCCGTATTAGAATATACTAGAATACATGTGTATGTATATACATATATACACATCTAGCGCGTCTGATGCAATTCTGGAGATATGCAAACAGCACTGTTTCAAGCCGCGAGCCATACTTTGTGGCTGGCAGGGCCACTCCCTCGCTTTGCGAGCTGCTTCTCGTCTGAATCAGCTGGGTCCGAAGAACAAGGATGGTTGCGTTGGGAGGGTCCAAATTGGCTTCCCCTTGTTCATGGAAACGACCATGCGCATTGGGATTCATATTTCATCTCACTCTGCGGCCAACTGACCCAGATTCAGGCTTCTGAAACTGTTCTGATGCGCTTTGCTTGCGTCAGTGCTGTGCTGGTCCGCACATGCAGCAACCTGCAACATGTCAACAATGCCTCTTACAGGGTTTAAGTTTGGGGTTTAGGGCTCTCTTACTGCCTTGTACTTTCCAAAGCCACACTCTGGGCCGCTTAGGTCGCGCCCTTCGCTTTGCGAAGTAGCCGGTTACCTAAACCCTAAACCCTGAACCCTAAACCCTAAGCCCCCAAAACATCCTAAACCCTAAACCCCCAAACACCCTAAACCCTAAACCCAGAACCCCAAACGCCAAAGCCACTTTGGGCTGTTGGAGAGCCAACTCTCCGGACTCAGGCTTGTCAAGCTGCACTGGCACCTGGAGCTGGACTTTGAGGGCCCCAAGAGACAGTTCCCAAATTAGGGGTATATAGGGTTTAGGGTTTAGGGTTTAGGGTTTAGGTGGGTCTATAAGGGTTATTTAGGGATAATGGAAAAGAAAATGGAAGCTACTACTTAGGGTGTAGGGTTTAGGGTAGTTCCCAAAATAAGAGTCCAACTTTGGTACCCCTAAATATTAGGGACTTCAAAGACGAATGGGTAGTTCCCCAAAATTAGGGTCCAATGTTGGTACCCCTAAATATTACTGTAGCTGCCGTAATTTAATCTTTAACCTAAGGGGCCCATAGTTTTGAGAACAACCCATTTGTGCGAGGTTCCCTTGTCAACAATAAGGGGTCAGTGGATATCCCAACTTACCACCTAGGCACACTTTGAGACGACGATCATGTGGCGCTTTCCGTCCACCTGCCAGGGCAGGGTGCTTGCACTGATGCCATTACCAGAAACAATCATCCACGCCGGCACTTTGATTTCATTGTCTGCAGAAGCTGACAGAACTCACCCTACAAGATGCAGGAATCTAAGAATAAAACAGATGGCATATAATAATATATATATAAGCATACATATAGACACACACATATATATATGTATAGAAAGATGTGTTTACGAGACCCTGCGGGCAAACAACGGCCTGGCCTGGAATCATTGCCGGCCCTTCTTCGGCTTTTTCCCTTTCCCACGGCCCTTGCCTTCCAAGAGATTGGGCAAGCCGGATGATGAGGGAAGCTCATCTTGTACGTCCTCGCTCATATCAGCCCAGGAAGGGCGGTTTGTGTCCGGCTCTGGCTGATACCGGGGGGGCGGATTGGTCGCATAGGAGTGAATCGGAATCTGTACCTGGCAATTGGGTCCCTGTGTGCAAGTTGGGTGTGGTCGCAGCTGGTGAAATGGTGGCTGGTAAACGTACAACTGATGGTTTGGGGCTTGCCAGCTTTCAGCCGCGTGCGAGGAATCATACTCCATGGGGTAGTAGTGATTGTACTGATGCACCGGTTGTGCTGGCACTGCAGTGTCTATGTTGGCGGGCCTCGCATGCAAATTCACAGGACCTGGGGGCCACGGAGCCAGCGGGTGTGCAATCTTTGCCCACCACTCTGGGGGTGGCGGCAATCCGCCCCGGCAGCTGCTGCCATACACAGCCTGTTCTCCCACAAAGGCTGGGGGGAGCTGCTTTATGGGAGGCGGTCCGGTTCGTGTGGCGTCCATGTGAACACGACTCACAAGCTGCTAAGCCGTAGATGCTGGCCGCTCAACGTGTATCTCATAATCATCATGGATGGGCAAGATCACCAAACAAAAGGCGCAGCTCCGCAAGGGTAGTTTAGGGGCCAGAATAATTACCAAGATCTTCTTGAGGTCTATTTGATGTACATTACACCACGGTTGTACAAGGAATCTAGGACCAATATACTGGTAATCATCTGGGAACCTACATTACTGTAAGTAGATCAGAGACAGCTTCTACCACGAAACATGACTCACCACTTCGGCGTCTGCAGTTGAGGTACCATAGACCATAATTATATAAGGAATGTGGAACCATTATATTGGTGATTATTTAGGCTGAGGTCCAGACCCGCCGCTCCACAGGCTGGGACATTGGCGGCTTCGCGGAGGGCGACATCGGGAGCTCCGTTGGCGGAGCATAGGTCCCAGCACTCCTGCCCCGTCTTCAAGACCGGGCTCAGGGTTTAGGGCTTAGGATTTGGGATTTGGGAGTTTAGGGATTTTGGGTTTAGGGGTTTAGGGATTTTGGGGTTTACTGGGAAATCCAAACAGGGAACCCCAAGAATATAGTAGGAATATCTCAGGAATATATCTACCAGGGTCCTTATGTTCTATTATATTCCTACGATTTTATTGGGGTTCCCTGTTTGGGGTTCCCATTAGAGATCTTTATTGTAGACCCCGTCAATCCTGAACAAGTACCTCACGCCCATAGAATCCCACCTAAGAGCACATGCAAGATGGCGCACATGGGGATTTGCATACGGAGAGGCCCAAATGTCGACCCTAAAATACTATAAGCCTTGCACTAAGGATTCCGCAAAAGCAGAGCCCCTACTCCAAATCAAAACTTGCATGGCACCTGCCGTAGGTGAGAGCCAGAATCTCGGCCCTACTTTCTCGGGCAGATCTTTCCAAGGAAACGAGGTCAGACTTCACCCCCTCCACATGGCGCCAAAGGTCGTCCACCCTTTCAAGGGGGCTTACCGGAAGGTAAGGGTTCTACCGGATTATGTTGGGGAAAAAGGGCTTGCCTTGGAGGGGCTAGGAAATTAGGATGCATACCTATCTTGACAACGCAAAATCAAAGAGCAAGAGAACGGACAATGAAATGGAAACTGGGGTTACGTTGGGGCTGTAGAAGGATTTGGGGCTTCACATAGGTCATAGTGTAGAATCCAAAAGTACGTGGCGTTGGCTTTTATGTTACGGCTTCACAAAAGGCTGGAAGGGATGATCGTCACCATGTATCGTTTTCCACGGTGCCAGCACCAATGGTTCGAATGAGGCCAAGTTAGCCCTTACTACCTTTCAGGGATGAAGCTTTCGGTTTGGGATTGAGGCCGTGGGGCTTGTTCTTCCGCAATGCCTACAGTACAGGGAAACTCCCTTGGGGTGAACTGCAGAGCGAAGTTCGTACAGTTCATGTTCACGCCCATACGTCGTATAGTATACTCTCCTGATCACGACTGTTTACCCTAAACCCTACACCCTAAACCCTAAACCTTGGATACTGCCCCACTCAGTAACAGTTGGATAATAATTTTCATAGGGTGATATATAGCCCTAATAGGACCCCTAATGTAGACTGTGACTGGGGGGGAGCAGTACCCAACCTAAACCCTAAACCCTAAACCATAACTGGTCGTGTTGAAAGTGCTTACTTGACTGTCGGTTTTTGTATGACTTGGAGCCTGCATCCCTCGTGGATGCTCAGCGGTTTAGGGTTTAGGGTTTAGGGTTTAGGGTTTAGCGCTTAGGGCTTAGGGTTTAGGGTTTAGGGTTTAGGGTTTGGGGCTTAGGATGGTTTAGGCTTCAGAGTACCCACTTGTAATTGTAGTTAGAAACCAAAATATAAGCCAACGGCATGCTCTCCCCAAACCTTATATACCCCCTACATAACCCTAACAGAGCCCATATACGCCCATATAAACCTCCAACCAAGCCTCTTCGTGGTTCGAGCTAAAGTGTCCGACTCCACCTTGAGCTCCTCAATCCCGGCCTGCTGTTGGGCCACACCTTGGCCAGGGCTTATTTGAGTTGGGTTTAGGTTTTAGGTTTTAGGGTTTAAGGTTTAGGGTTTAGGGTTTAGGGTTTCAGGATGAACTCCTAGCATCCCCCTTAATAACCCCTATAATATAGGTTTAAGGTGTAGGATTTAGGGCTTAAACTCCCAGCATCCCCCTTTCTAGCCCCGATAATACTCCCCTATGTAATCCCCTATATGACTAAGGAGTTTAGACTGTAGCTCATTTGGCCTAGTATGTCTGCTTAGTAGTCGGGGCTATGGGGCTTAGAACTAGGGTCATCGGGGATAGCAGCTAGACCTAAACCCTAAACCCTCAACCCCAAACCCTAAACCCAAAGAACCTCCAAGAAAGGGAATGCGGATTTTAGGACCGGAGTTTCGTGGTTTGGGGTATCCACTGTGGGATATCAACCTTTTTGGCTCAAGGACGCGGTTTAGGGTTTAGGGTTTAGGGCTTATTCTACCGGAGAGGTGCAAGGTTCAGGGGTTGGGGGCTTTGAATTTTTCAGCACTTGAGGTTCGGAATTCAAGCTTTAACTTCCTCAAGCTGTCCCTACCTGCCAGATGAAGCTGTCTAATCAACTGGAAACTATGCCAAAAAGTTGAAGTGTGTTTCTTTCATGGGAAACAAGCAGAGCCTCTACAATAACCCTAAAACCCTCAATGGTTTAGGGTTTAGGGGTTTAGCGTTTAGGGGTTTAGGGGTTAGGGGTTTAGGATTTAGGGTCAAGCCCTCCCCTTCAATTTCACAACTTCCCACCTACGGACATATCCTTGACAGTCGCCTCGAGGTGCTTCACAGACCTGGGCTTTTTGGTTGAGTTTAGGGATTAGGGTTTAGGGCTTAGGGCTTAGGTTTAGGGTTTTTCAGGTTTGGGGTTTTGGGTGCAGAGTTTAGTGATTTAGGCAGCGTTTCATTGGTTGAGCTGCTATGCAAACGATCCTTCACCATTCTATAGCTAGTAGGTTGTCACTGTTCTCATCCCTTTAGTAAAAGACGGCCCCTATATACTACTCGGGTACCCATTAGAGACCATAGTTTTTCAAAATCTACGATTTAAAGTTGGCAGAGAGTTTGTCCAGAGACCCGCACAACACTTTACTTGAGCTGCTTACCAAGGGCTCGTAACAAGCAAAAACTGAAAATGATTGGGGTTCAGGGATTTTCAGAACATCCCTAGATTAAAGTTGGCATCAACGAAGGTAGAATGTTATTCATCAAACTCAAAGTGACTTGCCCAGCCTAGCGGAGCTTGTGGCAGCAATCTCCATGTCGCTGCTTACGCTTTGCCTACGGCTTTGAGCTTTCAGGATTTCGGATTTAGGGTTGAAGGTTCAGGCTTCAGGGTTTAAGGTTTAGGGTTTAGGGTGCGGGCTGGCTAAAGCAGGGTCAAACAAAGGGAGAACATGGGGTTTGAATGAGTCTCAGAGGGCTTTTCGGAATCGACTTCCACACTTTTCTACAAAGAATATGGATGATACTATGGTGGCCTCAATAATGACCTATATAATGTTCAAGTTTTTTAAAGTCTAGGACCAGAATTTTGTTAGTTATTCACAATATGCAGGAAACCACTGGTAGACTGTACTTGTAGTTCACCAGACTCCTGTACTAGCCGTGAAGGCTGTGGAAGTTTCTTTTCTGCACCAACGAAGGAAACATAGACAATTAGCAACGTGGGAGTTCCAAGCGAGAGGGTCCCCCAAGAAACTTCCAAACGCAGAGCCCTAATTTCAAGAATGCCTCGAACCTAGGTCCTCAGCCTTGTTTGTACATTCTTTACAATCCATGTCTTGCTCTGTATCCTCCATTACAGGCCCCCCCAAAAAAAAGCTTTCGACACCCGAGTGTTCTAAACTAATTCCAAAAACCACAAGACAAAACAAAGAAAAAACAAAACTTGAATCCTAAACCCTACACCCTAACCCTCAAATCCTAAACCTCCTTAACCCTAAACCTCAAAACCTATCATAGTTTCCAAAGTGGGCCCAAGCTGCAGTGTCTGCTGAACCTGGCCCAAGACTTTCCTGTTTAGGGTTTTAAGGTCTTAGAGTGTAGGGTTTTAGGGTTAGGATTTTAGGGTTTAGGGTTTAGGGTTTGGAGCCGCAAGCCTAAAGCCTAACCTCTTAGGCTTTGGGGCTTACAGTTTTAGAGTTTTGGGTCTAGGGTTTAGGCTATTGGGTGCGGAGGGGTGGGGGTTTAAGTGTCCATTTCAACCGAACCGCTCTTCCAACCTACATCTACATGTGTTCAAGTATCACAAGAAACACAAAGATTACAAACATCAAAATTTAAAGACAAATAACAAGGCTAAGCCCTAGACCCGAATACCAAACAAAATCAACCCTAAGAGGCTTAACCCCTAAAAACAAAAAGCCAAAAACTCTCAACCCTAAACCTTGAACCCTTGTCCAACAGCGGCCCAGCTTCTGCTGGGAGTCCTTGAAACCCTCCAGTTCTCGCTGGAAGTCACTCCGTACGGCCTTGGATGCTGTTAGGGAACTTCAATTAAGCTTACAGTTTAGGATTTAGGGTTTAGGGTTTAGGCACGGGTTTGGGGCTTAGGGTTTGGGTTTAGGGTTTCGGGCTTGTGGTTGGTTTTCAGGTTTAGGGTTTAGTGCTTAGGGTTTGGGTTGGGGTTTAGGGTACAGGGCCTAGTGCTCAGAGTCGGGCTTAGGGTTGAGGTTTAGGGCTTAGGGTTGAGGGTTCAGGGTTGTGATACTGGAGAATCAAATGCACAAAAACCAGGGACAACGAGCTTGAAATAAGTTACCATTGTAAGGGAGCCACACAGAGTAGGACATACTCATATTAGAATACCTTAGCTTCGAGTACCCTACACGCTGAACTCTACCAAATGCTGCTCACTTGATTTCGGTTCCTCTTTATACACAAACATATATGTCCATAGTCTACGTTACAAGTACCCTCTAATCTTAACCCTAAACCCTGAACCCTAAACTCTAAACCCTAAGTCCTAAACCCTGAACCCTAAACTCTAAACCCTGAACCCTAAACCCTAAACCTTCCTATCCGAACTTGGTTTACGTTCCTGAACAGTAACCCAGCAGCTAGGAGACTCCGCTCTAGGCGGCTTTTGAAGCTAGCCTCTGCTGCCTCCACGGCTAAATGGATTGTTCTGAAAATCATGAGCCCCTTTTGGTTGTAGATTATATTACGGCACCTAACATTAGGCCATAGTTTTGGGAATAACCCAAATGACGCAGGGGGTATAAAGGGCTATATTGGGATAGTGGAAAATAAATTGGAAACTACTATTTAGGGTTTAGGGTTTAAGGTTTTGGGGGCTAAGGGTTTAGGATTTCAAGGTTTGGGGTTAAGTGCTTCGAGGCTTAGGGTTTAGGGATTTAGGACTTAGGGTTCTCGGGTTCATGGTTGAGGTTTAGGGTTGGGGGTTTTGGGTTTTGCATTCAGTGGTTTGGTTTGTGGCTTGAGGGTTAGGGTTTAACTGGAATAGATGAGAATCAGATGGAAACCAGTATAGGACAGGAAATAGCTTGGCTAAGGGCCTGCAATTCAGAGGGATCACATGGAATCAAAATACTTTTCTAATCTAATGATAGTTGGGGGAGGATAATGGTAATCCTTCTGGCTTCTACACTAACGACAACCTCACCCATGCCGAGTTGGGAATGGAGGAAGGATACCCGCTAAGCCCTTAGCCCTAAACCTTAAACCCTAAACCCTAACATGGACGACTATAGGAGAGCTATACTTTAGGAATCCCTGCCTTCGTTAACTGATAACAAAGCATCAGCAAGCGGTTGCAAAAAACACCCGCATGGCCACGAATAGGATCACAATGACACTACATGGTGGTATTGTCTAAACTCCTAGTATCCCCCTTCATAGGCCCTATAGTAGTTCCCTATATAATCCCCTACATAACCGCCTTTAAGGAGTTTAGACTATGGCTCATGGTGGTATTGATGAATCAGCAGCGAAGCAGCCAGCAAAGCATTAGGGTATAGGGTTTAGGGTTATTTATATAGCTGAACCATCGAAACATCTGGTGCCGTAAACCCCGGAAAGCCCTTGTAACCCAGAACTTAGGTGGACCCCCCCACCCAGTAATAATGACTATAAGGGATAATAGAATTGTATTAGGGTCCTCTTATATTCCTATTATACCACTATTACAGGGTGGGGGGTCCTCCTAACCCAGAACCCTTTAACACTTTCACCCGCCAGAACTAGCGACTGCTCAGGCGCCCCAAAAGGTTCAACTCTGAGAAATGAAGCCCTCATATGAGCTTAGTCTAAATGCCGAGTATCCTCCTTAATAAGCCCTATACAACCCCCTTGAAGAGGTTTAGACTCTAGCTCATATGAGACTTCGCCTTGATCATTCCTGGCTTCAAAAAAGCCATGTATAAAGCTGCACCAACGGTACTTCCCACGAGACCCAAACTAAAACCCCAAACCCCATTTCCTCACCCCTAAACGATCGAAACCGGGAACTCTAAGCCCTAAACCCTAAGCCCCTAAGCCCCTAAGCCCCTAAGCCCTAAACCCTAAACCCTAAACCCAGAAACCCAACAAAGCCTTGACCAGCTCCGCGCTCAGCTGCCCAGTCTCTTGTGCTTCCGAAGCCTGCCAAAGAAGACTCCAAAGTTCACTCCGCTTTGGGCTTAGGAACTTTAACGTAAGCTACATAAGGTATGCTTAAGGTTTAGGGTTTAGGGGGTTTGCCCAGGAACTTTAAAGTAAGCTACATAAGGTATACTTAGGGTTTAGGGTTTAGGGGGTTTACCCCTAAACCCTACACCCCGGTGTATTGGAGACTGTCCACCTGAGGGTTAACGGTGAGAAACGGCCAGAAACATCCAAAAAGTAACTAGGCCCCGGGTTTTGGAAAGTCTTGTCATGGGCTCCCCTACTGCCCTCTCCCCCGTGCTACCCTGCTTGGTTCCCCGTCATTAGCTCTAACTACCCCTTAACAAGTTTATAAGCTTACTTGAGGGGGACGCGGAGAGGTGTGTATAATAAGGGGGTTTTGACCCCCTCAACCCTACACCCTATACCCCTAAACCCTAAACCCCTGAACCCTAAACCCTAAGCCCCTAAACCCTAAGCCCCTAAACCCTCAGCCCCTAAACCCTAACCCTAAAGTAAGGATAACCAGCACATGACTATAGTAGCGTCCCAATTTTTTGGGTGTTGGGATAGCTGAAACCCCTTACAATCCCTAAACCCTAACCACGAAACAAAGTAGGTTTAGGGTTTAGGGTTTAGGGCTTAGGGGGGGGCTTAGTAAGTGGGTTGATAAGCCCTATAATCCACGAAGTAACCCTAGCTATCCCCATCCCTGAGCCCTAAACCCATAATGAAGGTAGCATGGGGTTTTATCCGAAAGGCACGGTATGAGCCAGCCCGGCCTCCCAAATTTGCTTTGCTGCTAAGGAACTTAAGCTATTTAGGGTTCAGGGTGTAGGGTTTAGGGAGCCTAATGTGGGGGAGATATAGGGAACATTTAGAGTTATGTACGGATACTACAGCGATATACTGAGTTTACGGTTATAAGGAGACCAGATCATTTCCTCTCACTCTGTATCCGTACGATAGTAACCTTATTCCGTTTTTCCATGGCACCCCCGGTTGATCGGGAAAAAAATCTGGGCAAGGACATCAAACCTGAACGCTAAACCAATGCGTCCAAAAGCCCTCAGCTTCAGTGGCTAGAAGGAAATTAGAGTTTAAGGATTTAAAGTTTAGGGCTAAGCTTTTAAGAGTTTCGGGTTTAGGGCTTAGGTTTAGGCTTCAGCTCCTTGGCGTTTACGGG